AGAACAAATTAAAAGTATTTTAAAGGAGACCAGGTTGTTTGAAAATCCTAAACGAATGCTAAAAATCGTCAAAACATTCTGGTGTCTGAGCCAGAGTGTCATCGAATTGCGATGTAATGTAAACAGAAATTGTAGCAAGTTGATGTCAGTCAGGTTAGATGGTCCAAGCCAAAATTATATCGCATTTGAAGTTTCAAACTGAGTTAAAAATAGTGAAAGAAAAGCCGTAATTATACTTATTGTTACAATCCATTTAATAAAATGCAACATTTTTTTGTTTTAATGAAAAAATCAGTTATTTTCATGAAGAACGATTTGTTATTCCATCTCAATTTTTTTAATCTCCAATCGCAATAACGTAAAGTATTATTACCCGCGAACCAATGAGTCAAATTTAAGAAACAACCCACTGCTAGAAAGCTGAATGGCTATGCTTTCAAATGAATGTGAACTTTAACGTTTTCGTCTATTATCTGTTTAGCAATTTACATTTCAGTCCGAGAGTTACTTTTTTTGATATATATATATATATATATATATATATATATATATATATATATATATATATATATATATATATATATATATATATATATATATATATATATATATATATATATATATATATAAGCGCCCTGCGTGAGATTTCTGTTTTTAGCCGCTATTGTATGTAAGTGTGAGAACTGTACTACTATAGTCATAAAATTATTTGTAAGTTTGGGTCATTATTTCGTGATTTTTTCATTACTTTTTATCATCCCCTTGGATTTTTGTGAAAATATTTCAAAGACATTATTTCGTCCAGAAATTCCCCCCTGAACATTGCAAGTATTTCATGTATTGATCGATTTAATCCAACCTAAGAGGTAGGTAATGAGTACCTGCTCACAGACGTTGTAGTTCTTACGCCAAGCGACGAAATACTACCGTCTGCTTACCCGAGCTGCATATTCAATTCCCTTTGTTTTAGGAGCCAATCATCTGGCAGTGTTCAAAAAAGTTAGAGCCAACTGGAAGGCGCTTTATTGAGAGATTAGCTACTGGGGAAAGCCCTTGCACTTGCATTGGAATATATTGTTTGGGTGAAACTTGAAATTTGTTTACTTGCGTGGATATATTTTGGAAACTATAGCGTTGAACTTCACGATGTTTACGTAGAATAATATTGTGATCATCTTCTCGCATGTTCAGCAAACAAACGGTGTATATAATATATGCAAAAGCATGCAATGCAGTAGGCGAAATTTAAATTTTTGTTAACAATGACAGTATATCAGGATAACTCGAGTATATCAGGATATGTCCAAATGTTGCTCTTGATACTTCCTGTATGCCATGACGTCGACGAAAACTTCTAAAAATGATTAAGCTCTCATTGTCATGTAGAAAAGTATAGCCAAGTTAGAGTATAAACGTTTCGAAGTTTGGACGAATTGGAAAATTCATCACGGCGCAATTTTAATACAAGTTTCTCGGGTTTGTGTTGTGTTTACAGTTTACATTCAGAAGTGGTTGCTCAAACAGCAAATTAGTTACTTTAAGCTAATATTTCGCTTTCTAAGCCACAGTATTAGCCTATATCAAATTTTCTGTCTTCCGAGTTCTGTTGTTTTATAAAGATAAACCATTAAAATTTCAGCGAACTGATATATTCGGCATTTGATGCTGTCTGGCTAAGATTCATACAGTATATTAAATAATATGCCAATCCTGTCCGCGTTTTAAATATAACCGAACATCTTTAATATCCAAATCTGATCATTAATGGTGCATTTCATTACCTGGACAAGTATCAGTATCTTTAAATTCAATTTATGTGCAATTTTGACCAAAATTCAACCGACGACTATATTTATTCCGCTCCTAAATCAACTGACGTCACTTTCCAGAATTTGGAAGGTAAATTCTGATTGGTCGACGTAGCGGAATTCAGTTTGGCGCTCGGGTAAGCAGACGGTAGTATTTCGTCGCTTGGCGTAAGAACTACAACGTCTGTGAGCAGGCTAGGTAATGAGTTAAGTCCTTCGAGTTAAGCCCTTCGAGTTAAGCCCTTCGAGTTAAGCCCTTCGAGTTAAGCCCTTCGAGTTAAGCCCCGAGCACGCCCAAACCACACTCATGAAAATTGACTGTTTATACGAGTTGTTCGTGACTCGTTTAGGCTGCAGCTTATTTAAGCCGAGACGTATGATAACTATTTCCAGCTAGATTGTGGACGACTTAAATTATTGCTCTTGTACATGCCTCAAATGTCGGGGCTTAACTCGAGCGTCGAATATTTTCAATGACTTCGAGTTAAGCCTCTCTTTTTTGACGGAGCTTAAAGGGGCAGTGTCACCAAATTTTGACCAAAAAGGTTTTTTGTTCAAAGTCATATTCGCAAATTTGAAAATAAACATTATAAATAGGTTCAGTTATGATTTAAACAACTTTGAACTTCCACACAGCATGTAGAACGACGTTTACATACAAATTGATTGACCTAAACTTGAAAAAGTGTGCACTGACAATTAATCAAGATGTCATTTACAATCCATCTCAATCCTCGCCTAATCTCAACCATCCAGATTTCTGTACATATCTGCTTTTTGTATTTGTAATTGTTTATGTTGTGCTTACAACCATTCTTTTTAGGTTTTGTGCAAGATTCCTAACGATTTGTGCCGGAGGGCCAAAATCGGTGACAATGCCCCTTTAACGTCGAACTTTCCAAGTTGTGTTTCATTCTTCGAGTTAAGCCCTTGACGAAAATGGGTGCGGTCAGGCGTTGTCGGGTCTTAACTCGAAAAAGGCTTAACTCAAAGATTACCTATACCTCTCACAATGCAGGCTTGTGACCGTTTCATGAGCAATATGATTGGTCTAAATGGAACCTTCATGTACGCTTATTTTTTTGCCTCGGGAAAATTTCGGTGAAAGATTGAATGTTCCATTCAACTCGGCTCTCGCCTCGTTGAATGAAACATTCCATCTTTCACCTCATGAAAATATTCTCACCATTGCACTCATAAACATTCATTATTTGTATAGTATCCAGTGTTACTATGAAAAGGGCACAAGTCTCGTGTTATGCATTCATTCGTTCGCGCAGCGCAGGTGACGGTAAACTGATCGGTTCCCTTGGCCTAAAGTACGAAACACAAATACGATCTAAACTGACCCAAAATTACAAATAATTTTATGATTATGGTAGTACAGTTCTCACACTCCGCTAAAGACAGAAATCTCACATACTGCAGCCGCCAATCGCCATTTTGAAAAATATTGCATCATTTATTAAAAACAACCATCAAAATGCTGTTTATTAGTCGTATTTAGAAAATATACTCGTCTGCAGTTGTCTGTAGTCGTTTGTAGTTGTCTGTTAATTAATCGTCTGTTACTCGTCTGTTACTCGTTTGTTACTTGTCAGTTACCCGGGTGTAGTTTTAGAAACGATCCTATATTTTCCTCATTTTACAACAATTCGCAACTAAATTTTGCAGTTTTAAGATGCTCTTTCCAGCTATGCCTATGGTAATCGATTTCGTTCATCTTGTCTAGATCAAAATTTCGTCTATAGCTTGAGAAAGTGGTTGATCTGTAGTCTCCAGGGCTTGCAGGATGCGGGGG